AGAGATTCCAATCATACATCCAAACCGGAGACCAAAACCAGCAAGTGACCATACCACGACGACCAGGACGACGAGACGAAGAGATCGCCGTCGAGATCGCCGCCAGTCGCCTCCGCACGCGCCGCCGGAAGGGAGCAACTGCCGGAACTTACTCGCGCGCGTGAGAGCGCGTGGATCGTCCGATTTCCGATCGGTCAACGCCGTTGACTTCGCCGTGACGTCAGCTTTCTGGATTGGTCAAGTTTGTTCGATTCCGATAAGATTTGATTTGCGGTCAACTGTCTGGGCCAGCCAGATCTACATAAATTTTAAGCAGTAAGTTTTCTTCATCAAACCTTTAGATCCGCTGCGCATAAGTTTATGTTGAATGTTTGTCCGTGATTTGTGCATATCGAGATCCTCGTGGGTTCCAACAGTCACTTCAGCACCAACTGTCCAGAATGACTGCAACAACAACTGCAACAACGTCAACCACCACAGCAACCTCAACAACAGTAGCCCAGGCAGCAACCACAACGACCACAACAACAGCAACGCGGCAGACAGTAGGCCCGCGTCATTGCAGTTGACCAGAGGGAGGCCGACCAGTACTCAGGTACCATGTCCGGGATGATTATTCTTAATGATGTGCCTGTCTACGCCTTATTTGATACCGCAGCGACCCATTCTTTTATATCACGTCGATGTCTCGAAGCTATTGGGGTTCGTTCCACTACCGCTGTCGATCCTCTCGAGGTGAGTTTCGCCTCAGGAAGAAGGATAGTGACTGACGCTAGAGCCACCGATCTCAGCCTTTCCATCGGCGGCCGTATTATGATTACTGATACTTATGTTATCGAGATGAAGGATTTTGACCTCATACTCGGTATGGATTGGCTAACTCGAGTTCATGTAGATATTCGATGTTACGACCGAGAGATTACTCTATATCTTCCGGGAGATGATCAGATCACTTATTACGGCTCCAGGACTCGTACTCTGCCACATGTTATTTCTATGGCGAAAGCCAAAAAGATTCTTCGATGGGGTGATTGCCAAGGTTATCTTGTAAGCCTCGTTGGAGATAAGTCAAAGGCTCGTTCACCTCATGACATTCCTATCGTTTGTGACTTCGTGGACGTGTTTCCTGACCAGCTTCTCGAAGGTCCACCTTGCCGACAAGAGGAATTTTCTATTGATCTTATCCATGGAGCCGGAGCCGTTTCAAAGGCACCGTACAGAATGGCGCCTAAAGAATTGCAGGAATTAAAGACCCAAATCCAAGAGTTGCTGAATCTCGGTTTTATACGACCGAGCGTTTCTCCTTGGGGAGCACCAGTCCTTTTTGTCAAGAAGAAGGATGGATCCATGCGTATGTGTATCGACTACCGGGATCTTAACCGGTTGACGATCAAGAATAAATATCCGCTTCCCAGGATCGATGATTTATTTGATCAGTTGAGGGGTGCCTGCGTGTTTTCCAAGATTGATTTGCGTTCAGGCTACCATCAGCTAAAAATCAAGGAATCAGACATACCTAAGATAGCCTTTCGTACGAGATACGGTCACTTCGAGTTTCTAGTTATGCCGTTTGGCCTTAGTAATGCCCCGACAGTATTCATGGACTTGATGAACCGTGTATTTCATCCTTTTCTCGACCAGTTCGTTATTGTCTTCATTGATGATATTCTTATTTATTCTAGGAGCCAGAAGGAGCACGAGGAGCACCTGAGGGCCGTTCTTTCGACCCTTATACGTGAGAAGTTATATGCAAAGTTTTCCAAGTGAGAATTTTGGCTTCAGCGAGTTGCTTTTCTTGGCCACATTATTACTTCAGCAGGTATTGAAGTTGATCCTTCCAAAATTCCTGCAGTCCATAATTGGTCAGCACCGAAAAATCCATCCGAGGTTCGTAGTTTCCTCGGCCTTGCAGGTTATTATCGCAGATTTATTGAGGGGTTCTTGAAGATTGCCCTCCCTTTGTCTCAGCTGACGAGGAAGTCTGTAAAGTTCGAATGGACAGACCGTTGTGAGTCGAGTTTTCAGGAGCTGAAAAAGAGTCTTACGACGGCGCCGGTGTTGACTATTCTAGATCCTTCTCGAAGCTTCACCATCTATAGTGATGCTTCGAGGCAGGGTTTGGGGTGTGTACTTATGCAAGATGGCCAGGTCGTTGCTTATGCGTCACGCCAGCTCAAAACACATGAACAGAACTATCCGACGCACGACTTGGAATTAGCTGCAGTGGTTTATGCCCTTAAGATTTGGCGACACTATCTATACGGTGGTCAATGCGAAATCATTATGGATCATAAGAGCTTACAGTATATCTTTACTCAGAAGGAACTTAACATGAGACAGCGCCGTTGGTTAGAACTCGTCAAGGATTATGATTGTACGATCCAGTACCATCCAGGAAAGGAGAATGTTTTTGCTGATGCCCTAAGACACAAGGTGAAGGGTGACTTGACATACGTTGTTACCCAACAGAGCCAGTTGATTCAGGAGTTCGCCCGGATGCGGATTCAAGTGATTGATGCACTTCTTATTGACAGTACGGGGAGTGTGAATTCCATGTAGATTCAGCCGACGCTGAGGGTGAGAATCTGGCAAGAGCAGGCTTCAGATGAGTTTATTCGTACGATTGATGCCAAGGTTCGTGCCAGAGGCGTCGAGGGTTTTCACCGAGGCACTAATGGGGCCTTGGAGTTTCGTGGCAGGATTGTGGTGCCTAAAATCGAAGCATTGAGAAAGGAGATTCTACCTGAGGCTCATACCGCACCCTATCTAGCCCACCCAGGAAGTACAAAGATGTACCATGACCTGAAAGGGTCGTTTTGGTGGAGAGGATTGAAGAAAGACGTGGCCGACTTTGTAAGAAGATGTTTAACATGTCAGTAAGTCAAAGCCGAGCATAAGAGTCCCATAGGCCTTCTACGACCACTATCGATCCCGAGGTGGAAGTGGGAGGAGGTTGCGATGGATTTTGTCACGGGGTTACCGAGGTCGTCTGAACATCACGACGCTATTTGGGTCGTGGTCGACAGATTGGCTAAGGTTGCTCATTTCTTGCCAGTATCGATGAGTATGTCTTTGGATAGGTTGGCTGAGATATATGTCCGTGGGATCGATCGAATCCATGGAGTACCTATTACTGTTGTGTCAGACAGAGACCCCAGATTCACTAGTAGATTCTGGAAGAGTTTACACGAGGCGATGGATACGAAGCTAGCTTTCAGTTCAGCCTACCATCCCGAGACTGACGAACAGACGGAGCGGACTATACAGACGTTGGAGGATATGTTACGTGCTTTGACTGTTGACAGGGGTGCTAAATGGGAGTCGTTGTTGCCATACGTCGAGTTCGCGTACACAACAATTAGCATTCTTCAATTCAAATGGCTCCTTATGAGGCACTATACGGTCGTAAATGTCGATCCCCTCTTTATTGGGACGACGTCGGTGAACGTCGAGTACTCGGTCCGAAGCTGATCGAGGAGACAGCCGAGCAAGTCGAGTTGATCAGGCAAAGACTCAGAACAGCTCAGAGCAGAATGAAATCAACCGCCGATCATCATCGACGAGATATTTAGTTCGAGGTTGGCGAGCACGCTTTTCTTAGAGTTAGTCCATTTTGCGGAGTTATTCGATTCTGGAAGAGAGGGAAGCTACACCCTCGATTCATTGGTACTCGAGCGAGTGGGCGATGTTGCATATCGTTTAGCCTTACCTCCCGAGTTATCCAGTGTTCACAATGTCTTTCATGTATCTATGTTACGCAAGTACGTGTGCGACCCCGATCATGTCATTCCTCATACTGATATTGAGATTCATCCAGACTTATCTTACGAGGAGTGACCGGTAGCTGTGTTGGACCGACAGGTTCGACGACTCTGGAAGCATGATGTTCCCCTCGTACGTATTCAGTGGGATCGCCACGGAGCCACTAGGGAGCAAGAGGCTGACATTCGCGCTCGTTTTCTGGACTTTGAGTTTTGATATGTATATTTTCATGTATATATGTTTTGTTTATATTTCCGAGGACGGAAATATTTTAAGGGGGGTAGATTTTGTAATAACCCAACTTCTTGTTAATAGAAATGATGTATTATCTTTTATTGATTCCGTTCATTTTCAGCGAATAAGTTCGACGTTAAGTCGAAAAGTTTATCCCGTTAATTATTAACCGAGTCAAATTCAGTAATTAATTTCCAAACCGTTTATTTTATAAAC